TAATTTTTAGGAGTAGCATATTCATATTCTGTTACTCAATGAAAGTCCATAGAGTTTGATTAGACACAAGGCCTACTTTGGTACTTACTGGCTATAGAACCTTGGACAAGTTGCTTAACTACTTTGAGTATTAGATTCCTCATCTATTAAAAGAAGATAATAATTAGTACCTTATCTCAAAGAGTGGTATAATTTAAGTGACAAGATGCAATGTGTATAGCATGCTTTAGGAAAAACAATGCCAAATACATATGATAGATGCTCAAAAATATAGTCTTAACCAGTGTTATAGCCTCCGCTACTCAACAAAGATAATTCAAGCTTGCTACCCACAAGCCAGCAACAAAACAAATCAACTAAGAGTTCAAGGTCCGCCAGGTTGCATGTGGAGCATTCACCTAACTGCTTGCGTGTCCATGTGCACTCAACTGTATGTAATTGGAACTGGATCTCTAGCCCTGGTAATTATCCACATTCAACCTGACATAAGCAGTCTGGAGAAACTTCAGAAGATTTGGAAAAGGCCTGATAAAACAAGACCTTTGATATAAGAAAACTTGACAGAGTCTGAAGCTTGAAGAACCAATATCAAGGAGGAACTGGGTTATGTTTATAGTTCTTGCTTAATTGAAATATTTTAATTTCAAAGTTCATAGTAGTTCATACTTATTTGGTCATTTTTATCTGTGGATCTCAAACCTTTCCACATCCTGAGAAAATTCTATATTTTAAAGTAAAAATATGCTGCTCATGTTTCTCTTCTAACACTTTGTTATCCACAGCCTGCATCACCTCCCCAAAAGACTTTCCATAACACTAATTGTCATTGGTTACAACTCTGAACTGTTCTTGATTTTAATAACTTCCTCTATATCACATAGGTTTAATAAATGAAATGCTGGGTTGATATAAAATAAATAGAAAATCTAGTTTTTGTTTTTTTTTTTTTTTTTAGCTTTGGAAGACAACTCTCAGAAAAAAATTCTTTTTAGGTCTTTTTTAACACAATCTATTGAGAGAGAACTACAGAAAATTGACTTAAAAAATAAAAGAATGATAACTACTCAAAAGAACATAGAAAGGGCTAAAATAAACATCTAATGAAATTCAAACCAAACAAGCTGTTTACCTAGAGTTTGTCCCTTAACATTTCTGAGCCTAGTATTTTTCATTGTAAACAGAAGAAAATTAACTCGTTCTTAGATGATGTCTTTAGTTCCTTCCAGTTCCATAATCCGGCAAGGATGATGTTTTTTTCTTTTTTGATTTATTTATGAGAGGGAGAGACAGTATAAGAGGGAGGGACAGAGGAAGAGGAAGAAGCAGACTCCCCACTGAGCAGGGAGCCCACCTTGGTATTCAATCCCAAGACTCTGAGATCATGACCTGAGCCAAAGGCAAAAGCTTAACCCACTGAGCCACCCAGGGGCCCCAAGAACAACTTCTCTTTCTCTCTGTTTTAACTCTGCTGGCATTGCTGAGCCTCCTTCCTAGTGAACTTCACTGCCCAGTGGAACGTAAAATAAGCTCAAGAATTTCAATAGAACAACTTTTGAAGCAAAAAAGTGTCACCTACTCTGAGGAACAGTACTGAACATTCTGCCTTTTTCCCCTGTGCCCCATCCATTGGGGGAGAAGAGGGTTTGGAGCAGTGGTGTTGGTGGATGCTTAATGCATGTGATACTTGGTAACTAACACATTAGAATCAATTGGCTTTTCACCCAGCCAGTCACCAAGAATGACCTTGAGAGAGTGGAACACAAGACAGATAAGCCTTTACAAGCAAGGGGTGGTAGAAGGAAGATGCTTTGGTAAAGTTTCTAAGTGTGGGATATTCTCAGCAGAAGAATGAGCATCAGGGCAGAAAGCTAGAGAAAAAGTGTCCTTGGGATACTGTGGGCCAGGATGCTGGAAGGTAAAATGAACAATTACGGACTGTGAGTGCTCAAAAAGACCTCAGTGAACATCTCTTTTTCAATATCAAAATCTTTCAGGAATTACTGTCAATACACATACACACACTCATATATAATACATGTTGTATACACATTTAGTACCTGTTGCATTTTCTTTAAAAAAAAATACTAGGAAGAAAAAAAAGAAAAATAAAAAAAACTAGGAATCCAGAAATACTTTAAAACAAATATATATTTCATGAATTTACTACATCCACAAATATTTGAAAAACAATAATATATGTATCTGAGATAAACAGATGTCATTTTGGCTTAACAGGTAAAGATACAACTGTACATTCTTTAGAGACACCAACATGCTTGGTGATGAAATTCACAGTGCCCTGTTAGTACTGGTACAAGTACCACCCATCTTAAGTAGTGACCTTTATGTCTAGACTAATGGTCAAGCCTCCCAGTGACAGCATGCCCCAGGATTCATCTTTCACAGTCATTCTGAAGCCACCCCCCAAGTCCCACCCCCCATCCCCTGTAAGTGGGAGAAAGTGACCCTCAAAAGCTCCCCATTGTCTGTATATTACTCAACCCAAACTTTTTAGTATAGACTAAAACTTTCTCCTGCCTTACTCATGATATCTCAGCCACCCTCACTCGTCATCCTGCTCTTTTCAGCAATTTAAGCACGTCAGAGCTTCTGTCTTTTGCACCTTCCACCCACCTATCAGAACACTTCTCACCCGTTTCCAATGACCGGCTGCTTCCCCTGTGCTCATTCAGCTTTAAAATGGGTGGCGGGATAACTGATCTACCTTTCTTTGCCCCACTGCACTTCATCCTCCCCTAAGGCTGGGCCATATCTCATACATCTCTGTATTCTGCTACCTAATATGGCTTATAGCATTAAGAGGTGCTTCCTAAGCGTGTATTTAACGAATGAATGAATAAACAAAAGATAGAAAACAACTGCAGAAAAGTATCCTGAGAGTCTAATCATAGGCCAACAAATCCTAGGTAGAATTAATAATACAACGGCACTTAATTGATAAAACTGAGTCACCTAGTTAAAGCATCCTTTAAAACACACACACACAAAACCCTACGCATAAAACAAGAATATAAAAAGTAGGCTGCGATGGATGGTGTTGTTTGGAATTAGGAAGGGAATGTGCAGTTAGCTCTTTGGCTTTCAGATTTCGCTGTGTTGTTAATGAAACTGGCGTCCCCAGCTCCACACGCCGGTGGCGGACCACGCGCTGCTGCCCGGCCTGAGGTCCCTAACTGGCCCGGGTCTGGCACTCCCAGGAGCGGCCCCTGCGCCGTGGGCGTCCCCGGGGTTTGGAAGGCTCCTAGGAGCTCCCCAACAGCCCAGGCTGTTCGTCAGCGACGCTTCTGCTCCGGTCCGAGGCACCTCTGGGGTCCGAGGCACCTCTGGGGTCTCGGGCAGCGAAGACGCTCCCGAAGAGAGGTCGTCGGGTTCTCCAGATTGTCTCTCTAACTATTTAATAGACGCTCTCCCTTTGCTTCTGTTTCTGACTTGATCGAGGAGGAGAAAAAGGACTACAAGGAGGATAGCAGCAGCGGACGGCGGCGCATCTGGCTCTACTTTCTCAGTTCCGTCAAAGTTTGTGTCTGTGTTTTGTTGCTGTTCTGCATTTGACAGCGACCCCGCGGACTTGTCCCTGGGGAGATGGCGCGTCCGAAGCCCGCCAAGCCCAGCCCGAGAGCTCTAGGACTCATTAGAGCAACATATTAAACAAAACCTCGACAGACTCGAACTCAAAGGAAGCCAAGCGTTCCCTAAGTCCAAGGCATCTGTTCGATGGCAGCGCTCGGTTTGCTGTTTGTAACCAGCGTCCAGAGCAGGATTTTCAAACATGGAAATGGACGAAAGAAAAGAAAAGCTAAGTCCCGGGGTGCGCCGACTCCTATTCATTATCTCCAACAGCATATGGGACCATTCTCCTACCAGTCCTCGCCCTTTCTTCTGCAAAAGGAAAAAGCAACCAAGCCTGTCCCGCTTCATAGCAAAGCCACTCTTTGTGCCGGAGCGGTGCCTCTGCCACCACTACTACTTCCTCCTCCTCCTCCTCCTCCTCCTCCTCCTCCTCCTCCTCCTCCTCCTCCTCCTCCTCCTCCTCCTCCTCCTCCTCCTCCTCCTCCTCCTCCTCCTCCTCCTCCTCCTCCTCCTCCTCCTCCTCCTCCTCCTCCTCCTCCTCCTCCTCCTCCTCCTCCTCCTCCTCCTCCTCCTCCTCCTCCTCCTCCTCCTCCTCCTCCTCCTCCTCCTCCTCCTCCTCCTCCTCCTCCTCCTCCTCCTCCTCCTCCTCCTCCTCCTCCTCCTCCTCCTCCTCCTCCTCCTCCTCCTCCTCCTCCTCCTCCTCCTCCTCCTCCTCCTCCTCCTCCTCCTCCTCCTCCTCCTCCTCCTCCTCCTCCTCCTCCTCCTCCTCCTCCTCCTCCCGTCTCTCCCTCCTCCCGCGCGCTCGCCGACTTTCGCTCGGGGAAGCAGGCAGCGGGCGCCCTTTGCGCCGGGAAGCCAGTGCTGCGATTGGGCGACGGTCCCTGAGCCTCCAGGTCTGCGTCGGTTTCAAGGCTCCTCCCTCCTGGTGAAAGACAGACTGCGGGGCGCCTGGAAACCGGTCCGAGGGCGCGCGCGAGAGAGGAGAGCGAGCGAGTTGAGGGATTGACACAAATGGTCAGGCGGCGGCGGCGGAGAAGGAGGCGGAGGCGCAGGGGGGAGTCGAGGCCGCTGGGCTGCGGAGAGTTGCGCGCTCCACGGGGCCGCGGCCACTAGCGCTGCGCCGCCAGCCGGGAACCCGCAAAGCCAAGGGCCAGGAAGGCGGGACGCGACCCCGGCGCGCCGGAGCCGCCCGGGCTCTCCCCGCCGCCCACGCTTCATGAATCGCAAGTTTCCGCGGCGGCGGCGGCTGCGGGACGCGGAGCGGGAGCCGGGGGAGCGGGCGGAGCGCGGCTTGGGCTCGACGGAGGGCACCGGCGCGGAGGAGATCTCCCCGGCCGCTGCGGGAGCCGCCGCCGGCTGCGCCACTGCCAGCCCCAGCCGAGCGGCGCCGAGGACGGAGCCGAGAAAGTATGGCTGAAGAGGAGGCGCCTAAGAAGTCCCGGGCCGCCGGCGGCCGCGCGAGCTGGGAACTTTGCGCGGGGGCGCTCCCGGCTGGACCCGTGGCGGAGGGGAGCGGGGACGCGGGCAGCCGTCGCCGCCGCCGCCCCCGCCCCCGAGCTGACTCTGGACGCTGGGCGCGCCGGCTGCTGCTACTGCTTTGGCTGCTGGAGGCTCCGCTGCTGCCGGGGGTCCGGGGGCAGGCGGTGGGCCAGGGGCCGGGCCAGGGGCCCGGGCCGGGGCAGCAGCCCCCGCCGCCGCCGCCGCCGCCGCCGCCTCAGCAGCAGCAGAGCGGGCAGCAGTACAACGGCGAGAGGGGCATCTCCATCCCGGACCACGGCTACTGCCAGCCCATCTCCATCCCGCTGTGCACGGACATCGCGTACAACCAGACCATCATGCCCAACCTTTTGGGCCACACCAACCAAGAGGACGCGGGCCTCGAGGTGCACCAGTTCTACCCCTTGGTGAAGGTGCAGTGTTCGGCGGAGCTCAAGTTCTTCCTGTGCTCCATGTACGCGCCCGTGTGCACCGTGCTGGAGCAGGCGCTGCCGCCCTGCCGCTCTCTGTGCGAGCGCGCGCGCCAGGGCTGCGAGGCGCTCATGAACAAGTTCGGCTTCCAGTGGCCGGACACGCTCAAGTGCGAGAAGTTCCCGGTGCACGGCGCCGGCGAGCTGTGCGTGGGCCAGAACACGTCGGACAAGGGCACGCCGACGCCCTCCTTGCTGCCGGAGTTCTGGACCAGCAACCCTCAGCACGGCGGCGGGGGGCACCGTGGCGGCGGCTTTCCGGGGGGCGCGGGCGCGTCGGAGCGGGGCAAGTTCTCGTGCCCGCGCGCCCTCAAGGTGCCCTCCTACCTCAACTACCACTTCCTGGGGGAGAAGGACTGCGGCGCGCCGTGTGAGCCGACCAAGGTGTACGGGCTCATGTACTTTGGGCCCGAGGAACTGCGCTTCTCGCGCACCTGGATCGGCATCTGGTCAGTGCTGTGCTGCGCCTCCACGCTCTTCACGGTGCTCACCTACCTGGTGGACATGCGGCGCTTCAGCTACCCGGAGCGGCCCATCATCTTCCTGTCGGGCTGCTACACGGCGGTGGCCGTGGCCTACATCGCCGGCTTCCTGCTGGAGGACCGTGTGGTGTGTAACGACAAGTTCTCCGAGGACGGGGCGCGCACAGTGGCGCAGGGCACCAAGAAGGAGGGCTGCACCATCCTCTTCATGATGCTCTACTTCTTTAGCATGGCCAGCTCCATCTGGTGGGTGATTCTGTCGCTCACCTGGTTCCTGGCAGCCGGCATGAAGTGGGGTCACGAAGCCATCGAGGCTAACTCGCAGTATTTCCACCTGGCTGCTTGGGCCGTGCCAGCCATCAAGACCATCACCATCCTGGCGCTGGGCCAGGTGGACGGCGACGTGCTGAGCGGGGTGTGCTTCGTGGGGCTCAATAACGTGGACGCGCTGCGCGGCTTCGTGCTGGCGCCGCTCTTCGTGTACCTGTTCATCGGCACGTCCTTCCTGCTGGCCGGCTTCGTGTCCCTCTTCCGCATTCGCACCATCATGAAGCACGACGGCACCAAGACCGAGAAGCTGGAGAAGCTCATGGTGCGCATCGGCGTTTTCAGCGTGCTCTACACCGTGCCCGCCACTATCGTCATCGCCTGTTACTTCTACGAGCAGGCCTTCCGGGACCAGTGGGAGCGCAGCTGGGTGGCCCAGAGCTGCAAGAGCTATGCCATCCCCTGCCCCCACCTCCAGGCGGGCGGAGGCGCCCCGCCCCACCCGCCCATGAGCCCAGACTTCACAGTCTTCATGATCAAGTACCTTATGACCCTGATCGTGGGCATCACGTCAGGCTTCTGGATCTGGTCCGGCAAGACCCTCAACTCCTGGAGGAAGTTCTATACCAGGCTTACCAACAGCAAACAGGGAGAGACCACCGTCTGAGACCCCCGGGGGCTCAGCCCATTCCCAGCCATCCGCTTCGTCCCGGCCACCCCCAAAAAGCTGGCCCCGTGGAAACCTTGCCAAACCTGGCTACTCAAGGCTTCCTCACTAGCCGTTCGCTTTTCGCAGGCTCCTTTTAACAGCGCAGCTCCTGCAAAAGCTTCCGTCCCCGGGGGGCAAACGGACTGGAGGGCCCGACGGCCACAGGGGGGACAGAGAGACGCCTCTCTCGTTCTCACACTCTGCTACCTGGACTGTGTGCTTTTATGATTGTAAATAGCCTGTGTAAGATTTTTGTAAGTATATTTGTATTTAAATGACGACCGATCACGCGTTTTTCTTTTTCTTCCTCTTCTTTTTTCTTTCCTTTTTTCGGTTTTGTTTAAATTTTAATTATTTAGGGCCGTTTAACCATCTGAGGCTTTTCCTTCTTTCTCTTTTCAAAGTACTGCGGAGATAAAACCGGAGCTCGCGGTGCTCCCGCTAGTTCTGGCATGCCCCTCCCTGCGGGCGGTGGGGTGCCTCTGGGGCCGGGCGGCCCAAGTCGCTCGCCTCCTCCTCTTTCTACTCCCACCACCCCCACCTTTCCCTTCAGTGCTTGGGGTCAGGACTCTTTAGTTAACAGAGCTCCACAGAGTTTCCAAAACCGGGGGTAGGCCCCTGCCCATCCCAGGCGTGCCCTTGAGGAGCAGGAGGTCCCAGGTTGTGAAGGCCTTGTCCCTTTGACTATCCGAAACTGAATTTTTCTCGGTCGAGAACCTTAACCCTTAGCTTCTAGGAGGCCCACAGATACAGGCTGTGGCAGTCCCAGCCTCCTTCCACACCAGCTTCCAACGCCCAGGCACTCCCTCCTTCCACCTAAGTTGCTTAGAGGTTGAGTGGGATAACCAGTGCCAAACTTTTTCAAGTCTAATTTTTGGTGGATGAGCTCCTTTCATTCTCTAGTGTCTAAAACCTGGTATGGGTTTGGCCAGCGTCATGGAAAGATGTGGTTGCTGAGATTTGGGAAGAGGCATGAAGCTTTGTGTGGTTTGGGAGAGACTGAAGATGGGGATTATAAAATGTTAATTCTAATTGCATACGGATGCCTGGCAAACTGCCTATAGCACTGAGACAGCCCACATTTCAGTTTTACCTTTCTGTAAAAAAAAAAAAAAAAAAAGAAACAGTAGGTCACCTGGAAAGCTTTGTTAAGGAGTTGATCGCTGCTTTCCTTACCAGGACAGCAGACCGTTGATAAGCTGAATAGAAAAACTTGAAGGAGACTTCAGTGTAATGGACTTTCTCAAAATGAAGTGCTCCTTTCTTATTTTTAATCAAATAATAATTAGACATATATCAGAAACTTTAAAATGTTAACAGTGGCACACTTTCAGCATAAGGTGATGATGATTATTCAGCAATACATTCTGAGGGAGGAATAATCCACATCATTAAAAACAACCTTGTAAGATTCCAGGAGGTAAAGAAGTGGAATAATTGATGGAGTTAGCTCCTGAAATAAACGAAATATGGGCATGCATGGTTAAGGGAAAGTGTGCAGTTTTCCTGCATTGAATCCTGTGTGCTCTTTTTTGGATTTACAGAAATGTGTCAAATGTAAATCTTTCAAAGCCATTTAAAAATATTCACTTTAGTTCTCTGTGCAAAAGAGGAGGATAGCAGTCCTCCTGATTGTATGGTTTTAAATTTTAAGAGTTTATCAAAATGCCAGTACTTAGGACCTAAATTTATCTGTCTGTCATACCCTAAAAATGACAATGGTCTTTGGATTTGGTATGCATTTATTCTGTTCATGATCACAAAATCATCTATATTTATAGAGGAATAGAAGTTTATATATATAAAATACCATATTTTTAATTTCACAAATAAAAAGAAACAAAGTTTTGTAAAAAATTATATGGTTTTTGTGCCTGAAAATAATAGAGCTGGAACTATCTGAACTATCTTTGCATTTTATAATGTCTCAAAGCCAGTCCCAAAGTATATAAATTTAGGAATTCAATGAAAAAGTCTATTCTTAAACATTCAGACCAGCCCTTAAGTATCCGACCTGCAGTGTTGAGACTGACATTGCCAAGTTCCTAGACACATCTGCTTTCATGACAGTAATAATATAAAAAAGAAGTTTCTAAATTATTTCTTTACTCAAAGAGGATTATTAAAATGAGAATTCTAATTTTAATATTAAAGCTTTTTTTTTCTTTTTCCATTTAAGGGGTAAATTTACATGACTTTTTTATAATACAGAGTCTTATTTAAATTATCAGGCACCACCTCGGTCACAATTTTTTTGAGGTATTGTCTTTTTCATAATCTTGGATATTCTGAAACCATAAATAGGCAGTCAATTAATGGTTAACTGACTGTGTGTTTCTAAACATCTTAAACAGTAGTTGGGTATATAAGATTGTTTTTGTTGTTTGCTTCGGAAGACCCCATTTTTATATTGTTCAAGGAACCTTTTCCAGAGAAATTATCTGGTTGGTCTACTCTTAGTCAGAATTTATACATATGTGTATATACACACACACATATATATACATATATGTATATATATACATGTGTGTATGGCATGTATATATAGATATATACATATGTGTATGTATCCATATTTTATCTCTATATACATATATACATAAATATACACACTAATTTTTATAAAATAGAGGTACAAAGTTTATATATTTTACAATATGGAAATAAGGTTATGAGAAATGGAAGATGCCAGATGGAAAAACCTCAAATAGCTTTGGAAAACAAGTCTCTTATTCCAGACTAAAAATATTTAGATTATATTTCCCATGAAAATATTTGGTGATAAAATGGCAAGGAACTAAAATGAAGACCATTGATACAATAGAGTTACTTTCATGGTTATAATGCAATTAATTATCTTTTAAGTCATTATCATTATTTATTTTAAGGCAAATGAAAAAATTTAATTGAAAATACAACATTCAATTTTAAGAAGAAAGATGCAATTTTATGGTCTTTTTTTCTTTGTTTCATTAATCTATTATAGTAGATATCTGAGAAGGTTTTATTGTGTAGACATTTTAAAACAATTCTTGGGCCAAATTAAAACATGTCTCCTCTCTAGGTGTTTCAATCATAATTTCTGGGAAAAAAATTTTAAAGATTATTAATCTCAATCCACAAAATAAATATTAGGCATTCTTACTGTGGGTGTCCTTATAATAAGTAAATTTGATGCAGAAAGGTTTTATAGTGCTGGATTTAAATCACCTTAAAAGACATTTTTGAATCACCATCAGGCTTTGTTTTTAGGAAATAACTTGTTTAGAATTGTGTAGCATATAGAAAGCCAGTGTATTCTTTTGTTTCTTTTGATATAGTGGCAAAAGAAGACTTTCCTGGAGAACCATAAAGATATCCAGAATATGGTCCCATTAGCATGCTGTTTCCATGACAAACCCTATTTTCAGATGGTTTGGTTTGCCTTTTTTTTTTTTTAAAGCAGCAATCAATTGGAGTCAGTTTTCCCCCTCACAGTGTGCTTGATTCAGCTTTTATAGTAAATGTATACAGAATATGAAAGCCTTCTGATGCTCTTTTTGAAAAAGCCATTTTTCACTTAAACTTTGTGGTAGCAGAAAGTCATATTTTTAATCTAAGAGCCAGCCAGTGTCAAACATATGCAAAACAGCTGGACCAGATTTTTCAGTTTGTCTGGGGTAGTCACTCGTCAGCCTGGGTTTGCAGTCCTGGTCCTTTTGTCTCGACTGAGCAATGAAGGCTTCTGCTATAGTTAAATCATTCCTGAAGTCCATCATTTAACTGGGAAAGGAGACCACAGTGAAGAGTTGGTGGCCAATTAAGAAACGAATTGCCTAAACCACAAACCATTTCAGGACTTGAGTGGCTTCAGATCACTTTCACTGATACCATGTTTTAATCTTTAAAATATTTTTGTTTTTTTAAAAGATGCCATATTTTCAGGGTGTGTGTGTGTTTGTGTTCAACTCCAGCTACTCTTGCCTTCGTTGCTTTCTAATATGTCAATTGGCTATAGGCCACATTTTATGTAATGTACATGCAATTAATTGAAACCAGTAGTGTTACACTGGATATCTCTGATACATTCCTGATTATAACATTCAGTATAACTGGAGCTTGAGAGATAAGAATCAAAATGTGATCATTACATTTGTCTTGAGGTGGACGCTAGTGATATTGTTATTGAATACTTCACAGAATATAGTAATTTCAAAGTCTTGCAGGATTAATCTGTAGGAGCCAAAATAAGATGTGGATTACATATAAGAATTCTCCAGTTACATTACTAAAAAGGAATCGTAATACAGCCTTAAATTCAAGGCTTTTATTTTAAGGCCCTGACATTTGAAATGAGGTCTTACAAGGTATGTACAAAAAAACCGTAAAGTGTTTTTTGGTGATTTCTAAGATTGATGCCTTTATTTTGAACTGTTGACATATGCTAATAGCCCTTAGAATTTGAAAAACAGTAGTTGAGCTTCAAACATGACTCCATTTCCTTAAACTTTTTGGACTTAAATATTTCTATTTACTTTGGTCATAGCTTTTGACAATGAATTCATTAAACTCTAACAATTATAGTAACAAAACAGCTTATTTGGAACCTAGTGACGAAAAGGTAGACTCTAGACTAATTTTCTTAAGTAGTATCATGGTCTGTGGTGACGACTGTCTCTACCCCATTACAGAACCAAGTTCCTGTTTAAAAACCTCCTGTTGGAAAAAAAAAAAATCTCCTGTTGGAGATTTTTGTTTATAAGTTGGTTTGGGACCCAAGTAACAGGTCAAATAAGAGAATTTCTCACAGAAATCTTCTCATGTAGTGATTTGGCTCATATACAATCTACAAGCACATCCTATAATTAACATGTAATAAATATTCTGAAAGTTATCAGTCTTATAAGTCAAGTAAATTATTGAATTGCTTGAAAAACTAAGATATTTTTCAATAGAGATTTCTCTAAATCCTTTTATTTGAAAATGGTGATATTCTAAAGAGGTCTATTTTTGAGTGATAATTCAAACAACACTGCATTTTATAAAGGAATCATCAATAAACTAGTTGAATGGCGTATTTGTATAACTAATAATTTTAAAAGTCAAGTATTGGAATAGCACTAATTTTGCACATTTTACACACATATGCTATTTTTAAATAAAATTGACTTGACAATAACTTTAAGTTTTAAAATTTATAATATGCATTTTTCATATGAAGATCTCAAGAAATTTTATTCACAGTACAGACTTTCAAAACATGTTCATAGGAATGCAGTGATGAACATGAAAAGGAACT